CTTTCGCTCTCAACTCTTCTCTCTTCCAACAATCCAATTCAAAAATCCTCTTCCAGAATTAGTAGAGATGTCTAACTCTCAAGATAACCCAGGCACTCCTCCACAACCCACCCCCTCTTATTCCTCCACACCTCCTCAACCCAACACAACCCCCCAACCTAGGAGAAGGAGAGTGAAGATGCTCGCACGCAAAACTGTAGCTACAGGTGCACTTTCAAAGAAACTGAATGCACAATTGAAGGCTAGCCAAGCCCAAGATTCTGAAAACTCAGATGATTCCTTCAAATCTGCGAGTGAAGGGGGAAGGAACTGGGTCTTCTGATTCTGAGAAGGTTCAAAATTCCCCTTCTGAGGTATGCTTCGTTCTGGTTGAAAATTTGGATAATAGGTTTGTTCTGGTTGGGACTGTGATGAATGTGGAAACACCTGAGTCAAGAAGGGGAGGAGGTAAAAATAAAAGTGAAAAAGAAAATGAGAGTGAGGGTGTGAGTAGTGATGTGAGGGGAAGAGGGAAAGAAGTGGCTGATTCTTCACCCATTTCTGAAATAGGTAGACCAGCTATCTGTGGGGCTGAGGATGAAAATGTGATTGAAAGTAGCAAGAAAATAGGGGGAAGTGGATCAGGGGAGGCTGCTGAAGGGCCGGTTAATCTAAGTTCACATGCAGATGAACCCGATTTATCTATTGAAGAGACCCTATCAGACCTTCTAAAGAAAGTGGGTGCTAGTTATAACCCCAAGAAAAGGAGAACCCCAACACCAAAGGCTCACAGCACTGCAAAAACTACCAAGAAAAGAAAGGCTTCTTCTCCAACAACTGTTGAGATTCCCTTACCAAAGGGAACGACCACAAGGAGTATGGTGAAGCAGAGTGAGAATGAGTTACAAAAAGCTATAGCAGAAAGTAAGAAAAAAAAGATGAACAAAGGGAAAGCTAAGGTTGCAGAGCCTGCTGAGGCTGTTGATATGGATGAGATGGAACAGGTCCATCAGGAAGAACACACAACTGCGGAGGTTCAGACACCCAAACCCAAGAAGACCAAGACTTCTTCCAAGAAGTCTTCACCTGTGTCTAAGAATGCTGAACCTTTATTGGCCAAGAGGACAAGGTCTGTTGTGAAAACCAAGCAAGTTAGAATTACTGAGGAGGAGGAATGGAGTGGTGAAGAAGAGAGTGAATCTGATGCTAAACAAGACAAGTTGGCCAAATTTGGCAAACGAAACATTTTGAAGGGTAGACTTCTGAAGGATTTGGAGGAACCAGGGATGGTTCGACTAGTTGATGCTCTTGCTACTCAGGGTTGGAAGGACATGGTCCTTCAGTTGGATGGTAGGCTGGCCAGGACTGAGATTATTGAGTTTATGGCAAATGCAGAGGTCAAGGATGGCAGAGTTACCAGTCAGGTGAAAGTGGTTCAAGTGACATTTGATGCAAAGGAGCTGGGTGAGATCCTTGACATCCCTTCTGAAGGGTATGATGACTACACAAGGCAAAAATGGCCAAGTCTGGACTCCCTTCCTACTGCCCTTGCCATCACTAGGAGGTTCTGTGATGTCCCTGATGTGAATGAAGCAAAAGTCGTGTACAAGAGTGAAATGAAGCCATGCCACAAAGTCTTGTTTGAATTTGTCAACAAATGTCTGCTGCCCAGGCAGGAAAGAAGACACATTGCTAACTACATGGATTTGGTGTTGATGGAGTGTCTTGAAAGTGGAAGGCAGATCAACTAGCCTGCATTTATGATTAAGTTGCTTGATAGGGTGATCAATGGCTCGAAGGCCCATGCCACCCCTTATGGGTTTATCTGACTACTGTTCTTGATCGTTGCAAGGTGCCACTGAAGAAGTGGGAGATGGCCACAAGCAAAGACCATTTTGGAATCAACACCTTGATTGCTTGTGACTATAAGGTCAATGCCATTCCCAATGAACCTGGTTCATCTATAAAGACACCCATTAATAGCAAGGTCAGAGCTCTAGTGCAGGAGAGTGGGGCAAAGGATGCTGAGATAGCTAGGCTGAAGGCTTGTTTAGCAGAGGTTGATCTGAGAGAGATGCTCTCAGAACTGAGCTCACAAAGGAAAAGGAGAAGAATGATGGCATTCTTCAAAATATGCTGCACCTTCTCCAAGCCAAAACCCAACCCTCCAGCTCTTCCAAGCCTTAATTTCCTTAGCCTTCAATTCTTGCTAGGTGTCTAGACCTTTTAGTAACCCAGATTAGGGATTTTTCTTGTTTTGCTCATGTTTTGACTGTTTTTGTTTTTTTTTGTGGATTGTGGTAGAATCATATTATCTATCAATGAGTTTGCTATTTTTGCTCTTATTGACTGTTTACATTTCCTTGATAGTTTGATTATGTTTGTTTGATTTATGATGATTAATCCATGATTGCACTTGCAGTTGGCCTAGTGGCCATGAGTAATTATTAAAATTCTGGGAATCACACTATGTTTATGCAACTTTTCGATAATGCCAAAAGGGGGAAGAGACATTGTGCTTTATATTCTGAACAAGTGATGTTTATAACCTAATGAACCTGGTCCTTGATGATAAGAATTTTTTTTCTAACTTTGCATTGATGAATAAGCTAAGTTCTGACAGGGCCTAAGTGAGTGAAAAACATAGAGTTTGTCATCATCAAAAAGGGAGAATTTGTTAGCCCAAGTAAAGGTGAGTTTTGAAGACTGACAAAGGAACTCAGACATGGACCAGGTCCATCCTGGTGAAGCACATATGTGGTCAACTCAAGCATGCGAGATGCACGTGAAGGAGATAAACCTAACCTACCAGGACTGATATCTCCTGATCATGATTGAAAAGGTTGCATATTGGATAAGGAGAAAGACTCCTTACACAAAGAGTACACTGCTTAAGAGAAGGATAGAGTTAGAGGATGAGATCAACTAGAACTCTTCCACCATGGAAGAGTAGTAGCAGAAGTCTAGTCAATCTCTATTTACTAACTCCATAAATATCAGTGTTGTTCTCTTTTACAGGTAACACACATAAGCAGAAGTTGAACGTAATTTGAGAGCAAAATAGCAAGGTAATTTTGCAAGCAATTTGTGTGTGATTCAAGCGTGCAAACCTGAAACTACTTGAACCAGATAGAAGAACCAGTTACAAGTGTCTGTATTTTATTCTAGTTCAATTGTAGTAGGTGTATTTCATATTATACCTTTCAGCTTATCTAGAAGCAATTGTATTAGGTACTCAGAGTTTTCAAGTTAGAGTTAACTTGAAGTTGTCGCAACAGTTGAGGCTGTGTGCTACAACGGGATTAGAGTAATCCTAGGTTTACAAAAGAGTTTTTGTAAATGCAATTTTTGGCTTAGTGATTTTAGTGGAGAGTTTGGAAAAATTCTACTGGAAAGTAGTCGTGGTATTTTTACCTTTTGATCCAGGTGTTTTCCACGTAAAATCTTTGTGTTCTTTAATTTCTGTACTTATTATTCCGCAACAGTAGTAGTTGGAACACGTAGAAGAACCATGTCCTTCTATAATCAAGTTAAGCGAAAAATTGGGTACCACACAAATCGTCCCCCTCTTGTGTGGTATTGAAGTATAAAACATGACATCCTTTCCCAAATTACCTCATTTTTCACTTATTTGGGTCAATTTAATTTCTTTTCTTTTTCTTAAATTTACATATTTATTGAGAAAATCACAGAAAAAACATTGTTTTCTTAAATTCAGATAACTAGAGTATTTTTGAGATATGAACAACCTTTCTTTACCTACTTTTGGCCTCTATCGTTTTTTGATGCTTCATATAACAAATTTTCTCCCATTCTTGTCGAAGCATTAACGAAGAGAATTGAAGTATGAGTGAAGGATAGCCATGAAATTAATATTTTTGATCAATGGTTGTCTTTCTTCCTTGCTCCCTATTTAAGTCTGAGGATATTTCGGATCTAAATCCCCAGACAAAAATCCATTATATTACACACACAAAAAAAGAAGCTTCCCGCGTTGAGATTCTTGGCATCTTTCGCAAAGTGTCTAACTTCATATATACATCGTTAATTTAAAGGTTCATTCTTGTTTCCTTGTTCTGATTTGAACTCATTTTGATTCTTAAGTTTTGCTGGTTTAAAACAATTTTTTAAATTTTAATTTTTGAAGTGATATAAGCATTTGTAGCTGAGGCTTGGAACAATGGTAAAATTGTCTCCGTATAACCTATAGGCCATGGGTTCGAACCGTGGATGTAGCCACTAATCCTTGCATTAGAGTATGCTGTCTACATCATATCTTTGGGGTGCGGTGCTTCCCCGAATCCTGCAGGATGCTTTGTCCACCGTGCAGTAGTACTGCTGTCCCTTAAGTGATAAAATTAGCAGTTCTTTTGAAATGAAAAAAAGAAGAAAAACTTAGGACGCTGGTTTAAGCTTAACATGGGGTTCGTTTGTGAAGTTTTGCACTCTAAAAAATATTCACAAGGTTGATAATGTAATCTGACCGGATTTAATAATGTAGTAGTAAGCTTTTTAGGAACTTTGCAATTAATTATATATTATGTAGTTAGAAAGAATAAAAGAGAGCTTAGTTGAAAGAATCCCACTTGGTTTACATAATTTTATTACGTGGGCACATGCATGCATTACTTCTCATCTCATGAGGTTTATTTTTTGTTGAATTTTTTATCCATTATAATTTATAAATGATGAGTTTATTTTGTTGAGCTGTATGTATGCAGATTAAAATTTCTGAACGTAAAGAGTTCTGTTTTATTGCCTTAGGTTAGTGGCGGCAAAATGCCTAAAAGAAAACAATAATCTACCATATTATCCATTAATAAATGGGTCGGATAATAAGCTTTTTAAAAACGGGTTAAATATGGATAAGAACTATATTATCCACTTAGAAAATAGATATATAACTAATGGGTTAAACTTTTATATTTGTAAAGCCTCGAATGGATAAGAAATTTTTCATGTGTCCTTAATATAATGTGCCATATCTGGTAATTAATTCACTGTATATATTTGGACAGGACTAAAATTTGTTGCTGTACAGATAGCTTAGCTTGCAGTCTTATTTACCTAGCAAAGAGTACGTTCTCTATCTCTCTCTCATAATTTGCACTAACATTGCTTCTTGAGGAGATGACTACATAGATGATATATTAATAGTGCATTTGTTATATATTAATGTAGTTCTCATTGAGAAGATACTGCGAGTCCAACCAAATGTGAAGAAGCTCTACTTACTAATTAGAGCTCCAGATTTAGATTCAGCTAAAGAACATTTTAACAACGAGGTACGTACTATCAAACTATAACATAACCAATCGTATTAATTAGACTATACAACTCCAATCAGAGTTCAATGTTTTAAGTGCAGGTTGTAAAGACGGATCTGTTTGTCGTTCTAAGGGAGAAGTTGGGTGCCAACCTACATGCCCTTCTAGAAGACAAGATTTTTCCAGTTGCTGGTGATATAGCTTGTGATAGTTTGGGGATAAATTCTGATATGAAAGATGAGATGTGCAAAGAAATAGACATAATTGTAAACTCAGCTGCTACAACTAGTTTTGATGAAAGGTATAGTTCTATAGAATAACACTAATATTAATATTTCGTAAAAAAAGAATAGAATAACTTACTCCATTCTTTTGCAGATATGATACTGCAATAAGGATCAATGCATTTGGTACCTTGAATATTCTCAAATTTTCCAAGCAGTGTTCAAAATTAAAGATGCTTCTCCACGTAAGCACAGGTCAGTTCCATATTCTTCTTTGTGCTTAATTAACCAACTTTCATTATCATGACTTTAGGCGTATTGACTCGTGATTCTTTAATTCAGCATATGTTTGTGGGGTAAAGGAAGGATTGATAGAAGAGAAACCATTGCATTACGGTGAGACGCTTAATGGAGGCTCTCACTTAGACATAGACGCAGAGCAAAAGTTGGTAGAGGAGAAACTAGAGGACCTTAAAGCTAGGAATGCCACTGAAAAAGAAGTAACCTTAGCTATGAGAGTTCTAGGTATCGAGAGGTAAACCTTCCATAAAATCAGTCTCATTGATAAAATTGGTATGCATATCGCTTTATAGGGTTCCTTATCACCTTCCACGGCAACTATAATATAATTCTCTAGGGCAAAGATACATGGATGGCCAAACACATACACGTTCACAAAAGCAATGGGAGAGATGCTTTTAGGACACTTGAAGGAGGATCTCCAACTCATAATCCTACGGCCAACTATATATTGGTCACGGGTTCAAACGGTGGAAACAACCTCTTGCAGAAATGTAGGGTAAGGCTGCGTACAATAGACCCTTGTGGTCTGGCCCTTCCCCGGACCCTGCGCATAGCGGGAGCTTAGTGCACCGACTGCCCGTTATATATATATATATATATATATATATATATATATATATATACACACACACCCCATTTTATGCATGCACATATAGAGAAAAATATATAATAAGTCATCTGATTCTTCCTTCCCACAGAACCACGGACACCTTCATTATTGGCTATGGTAAAGGAAAACAGAATGTTATCATGGGTGATAAAGAATCGATAATGGATGTGGTATGTGTACATGTTCTATGTATACCTTATGTTATATTGAAATGCCCAACTTTCTCTTGTTTGCATCAGCTGATCTTAATTAATATTATCTAACTTCCTTAATGTTGTCTTGCCTAGATTCCAGCTGATATGGTAGTGAATTCAATCATTGCGGCTATGGTAGCACATAGACATCGCTCTTCCCATATAACTGTTTACCATATTAGCTCCTCTAGGAGGAATCAACTAAATATTGGTGATATTATACAATTTTCTGTTGATCACTTCAAGAATAATCCGTGGATTAGCAAAAGAGGGAAGCCGGTCAAAGTAAAGAAATTTCATACACTGGATAGCATGGCTAGCCTTCACAAATATATAGCAATCCACTACAAGCCATCGTTAAAGGTTAGTTTTCATAATAATATCTTCTTACAAAAACCTACAAAATTATTGCAAGAGAGAAATGTACAAAAATAGTATACAAAGGTGTTTATATACATGTTTCAGATATTAAAGTGTGCAAACTTGATACTTTGCCAACATTTGCAAGCCTTTTGTTCAAACTTAGAAAGGAGAATCAATCGCGCTATTCGACTAGCTGAACTCTACAAGCCCTACCTGTTCTTCAAAGGAGTGTGAGTATTTTTTATATTAACACATCCAAATAGTTAACAGTTTGTTTAAGTATTTATTAATAATAAAATTTAGTTCTTAATTGATATTCTAACATCATTACCGCTGCTTTTTTAAAATCAGTTTCAATGATACCAACGCTGAAATGTTGCTTATGGTAACAAGAGAAAGTAATGCAGATGATACGTTCAATTTTGATCCAACAATTATTCAGTGGGAAAAATACTTCAAGGAAATTCATATTCCCGGACTAGTGAAGTACATTTTCTAAGAAGGAAGAATTATGCGAATAAAGGAGGCTGATATGCCACTCTGCTTAAAGCTGTGTTGCTGCTTAATTAAATTCCATTTTGTAGTTTTTTAAGTAACTACGTTAGTTCAAGAAAATATTGGCAGTATTGATTCTGAATAAAGGAGGCTGATATGCTACTCTGCTTACTTTAGAAAGCTGTGTTTGCGCTGCTTAAATCCCATTATGTAATTTTGTCAGTGACTACGTCAGTTCAAGAAAATATTGGCATTATTATATGTAAAGAAATTGAAGGACTACTTTTGCTATTTCACAAAATAATTGATAACTATTGCCTCCAGCAAACTGAACTCAAAGATTGGGTATTTTCTTGAACATATATATGTATCCGCAATAAAAACAGTACCATATATCAATGTCACCCGTGGCGGAGCTAGGCAGCGGAAGGGATTTCAGCTCCCTTTGCGTATTTATTTTTTTGAATTCCCTGGGTGAAAATTCTGTTTCCGAATGTGTATAACGGTAAAACCGAGCTCATGATGCACCTCGACTTCTGACAAGATAAGCCAGGCTCGAGATGTGATGGCAAGGGACCAAAATCAAGCCGAAAGTCCCGTCGAGCCAGAGCCCGAGGACATGACGCCTGCTCTCGGGAATATCGAGGTCATAGTTCCAGAATCGGTCCTAGCATCGAACAACTTCAAAGGACATTGTCGACTATCAAGCATAACCAACGGAAGACCGAAATATCCGTGACCGGCCTTATATCACGGCGGGGATCTAGGCATGTATCGATGGGGAACCGACAATCAGTTAATCAGAAGATTTTTTACCTTTTATAGAGCTGTACCTAATGTAGAACTCCCCTACTATATAAAGGGGGATCTGATTATTCATAAAAATAACTGTAACACGCGTTCCATGGCAATATATTATCATTTTCTCTATTATTTAGCTTTTTTCATTTCTTCATCAGTGTTGACTACAGCGAGCCAGGATCGAGGGTGAACAATTTCACTAAGGCTGAAACTGTCTTATTCTCTTGGTTTGAATTAATTTTATCTTTACTTGTTCAATCTAATCCAATTTATAGCTTTGTGTCAAATTGATCCGTGTATCCTTAAAATCACTTACAAAATCAATTGTTATCCGATTTTGAAGGTAAACAGTTTGGCGTCCACCATGGGGCTAAGGGTAATAGTGGCTGTTTGATACAAACTTCTATAACACACCCTATTTTACACTTGTTCTTTGGAGTGCTTCTGATTTCAGGTTAAAAGTTAGAAATGTCGAACTCCCAGTCTACCCTCTGAACGTGGATGCTGAATCTGGACACCATGGCGAGAACAACAATATAGCACCCGGTAACGAGGTACCCCTCGTCGACCCCAATGGAGTGCTAGTTGCGGACCCGATCGATGCTAGATCGCATGTGGCCATCAACGCGAACTTGCCTACCGATCCTGAGAATAGTATCCGCAGGGAAGTCCGGTAAGTTTCACAAAATATGCACGGCGGCGAAGATGATGGGATCAACTTGCGGGTAATCTTCGAAATGTTACAGGCTCAACAGGCAGCGATAGCCCAGCTCCAGAACCAGAGCCGCGCACCGAGCAGGATTTAGCCCGAGCCATCCCGGGAAGTCGTCCACAGAAATGAATCGATCCTGGAGAGGTCGAATGAAAATGAGTCGGGGACCAACCCCGAGAACATGAAGATGCTCGAAGAACTAACAAAACGGATAGAATCGGGAGAGAAGAAAATAGAAGCCAATGACAAGAAGGTGGAAACCTACAATTCTAGGGTCGATCAAATCCCGGGAGCACTACCGGTATTGAAGGGCCTGGACTCCAAGAAGTTTGTTAAAAAGCCTTTTCCTCCAAGTGCCGCTCCAAAGCCGATTCCTAAGAAGTTCCGGATGCTCGAGATTCCTAAGTACAACGGAATGACCGATCCAAATGAGCACGTGACCTCCTACACATGTGTTATCAAAGGGAACGATTTGGAGAACGATGAGATCGAGTTTGTCCTGCTGAAAAAGTTCGGGGAAACTCTGTCCAAGGGGCCATGATATGGTACCACAACCTACCTCCTAATTCTATTGACTCGTTTGCTATGCTTGCAGATTCCTTCGTGAAAGCACACATTGATCTCGTCCAAGTCACACCTCTATTTAAGGTTACGAAACGGTCGATGCAATAGTAATACCCAACAAGGAGTCGGGGTCGATTTTCCACAGGGAGCTACGAATGGAACTTAGGAGTATATATTGTAGTGTATGAGCTTGAATTATCTCAATTTGCACTTCTACAAACTTGGAATTGTTTCTAGCTCTAGTTTAAACTAAGATTGCAAACTAAGAAATAAAACTAGAAAATTATTTTTGTTATTTTTCAAATGATATAAAAGGCCTAGGGCTATGACTTTCACCTAGGTGTTTGCCTAATGGGTTGTAAACTTTAAAGCTTGTTTGATTGGACAGGGTGTATTACAGCTATCAACACTCAAGTACCCTCTCAGAGAGTGATTTTACCCAATTTGGCTTTCTCAAGTCCAAATGGGTATTGAACAAAACGGATGATAAAAAGCTCAAGTCGGATTTTACTATCTCTAGGTTCAACCCTTTAATTGAGCTTATCAATCTCTCGATTGACCCAATTTCTTGCTAGCCATGCTTTCCTAGACTAAGTCTCTCTTTCTCAAGTAGAGACCAAGTCAAAAAAGCATGAACTAATATTTGCAACCATCAATTCTACAATTAAAAGCAAGAACAAGGCTAAATAATAAATACCCAACCATAAATAAGCAATAAATCAAATACCCATTAAGATTACACTCTAGGGTTGGATCACAACCCTAGTGAAAAATCTAGCTACTCATGCTTAAAATAGAAGAAGTAGAAGAAGAAATGATAATTAAACCCATATTGATAATTATAATGATGAAATCAATGTTCACAAAGCTCAAAATAGCAAAAACTACTTAAAAGAGTAAAAGAAACCGTCTACTGTAGCGGCTGATGTCAAAACTTGACCTAAAAATATGAAAATCATCTATTTGTACAGGGCTAGAAATTTCGGACAAAAATGCCCTTTCATAGGTTTTGCAGCCGCATAATTCCATGTGCGATCCGCAATTTTTTAGCTTGACAGAATTGGAACTTTGCGGCCGCATAATTCTGAACTACGGCTACACTGCTCTCTTTCTGCGGTCGCATAATAATGTCTGCGGCCGCGTAGATTTCCTTCTGTGGCCGCACAATAATTGTTCGGTCTGCACTTTTGTTGGACTTGAGATGCAGGTTCTCTGAACTTTTGCTCTAACCCAGTTTCTACGGCCGTACATATCATGTGCGGACCGCACTTTGCACATTTCTCTGATGGGAATTTCTTCACAACCTGCGACCGCAAATGTTATTCTGCAGTCCGTAATTCTGAGCTTTTATGCCTGTTTTTATCCTTGAGTTCAGATTACTCCTTCTTGAGTTGAATTTCATCTCGGGAGTTCCATTTTCCAATATTTCTGCAATTAAGCACATTTTATCAATTTTCGGGAAAACAATTGAACGCTTTTAGACTAAAACAAAAGCTAAAATATGCTAATAAGTAGTCAAAATTCCCACTTATAAACTCCCCCAAACTTAAGTCTTTGTTTGTCCTCAAGCAAACAAAATAGTTTCCACCTTCAAAAGTTAAAGGACATTATAGCCAACCATTGGTGAATCATTCACACCTCAGTTAGGACCAACAATTATCCACACCACTCATGCATTATTGACAAGGCAACAAGTTAAATATTTATGCACATATAGCTCTAACGTGACATTCGAGCATCAAGGGTTATCTTAGCTCATCAAGGACTCCCGCTCTATCTTGTAGGTCATAGTGGATCCCAAAGTCCTCCTCCTCTACTCTCCACTTGCCAAGCTCACTTATGGATTTACCACTCAATTCAAAATTATGAAAGGTTCACTCATCTCTCTCAAGAGAATGTCACGAGCACGACTTCCGATACCATAAGCTTGCCCCTCATGTAAATCACCGCTAATGTAGCTCACTCGTCTCGAAATCAAGTAGGGCTTCTTTCGGGATGTAATGAAGGCTTTTGGATTAAGGATTGATACCAATATGGATAAGTGGTTACACCTTCCTTAAGCACTCCAATCTTTCAATTCTCGGCTCACACTTTACCGATTCTTTTAGGCATTTTCTTTTCCTTGGGGGATAGAGACGCTTAACATCACTCTTTATTCATCATTTCATTCATATTTCTCCATGTTTGGGATCATTGCCTTTTCTTTGAATCCCTCAAACTCTTTTCATTTATTCACTTTTTTTCATTCTTCTTTTTGTTCTTTTCTTTTCTTTTCCTTTTCATCTCGTTATTCCTTTTTCTCTTTTGTGCCTTTAATACCTTCTTTCAGTTTCCTCGTTCTCCCCACAACTTACGTTTTAGTAATGTTTTCACATGAAGTGTTAAGGAAAGCTGGGTGCCAAGAGATGGTCACTATAGACGGGTAAAGGCTTGTAATATGGTTTCCAAGGGAGAATGGCTAAATGCTCGAAGGGGTTCACTAGGGATGACATCATTGGTAGGCAATATAAAGCTCAAATGGGCCAAGTCCTTCTCTTATAGGAGGGCGCTAATTGAATGGAAAAAGAAAAGTCTTCAAGAAGTGAGAGAAGAAAACCTACAATCACTTCTCAAGCCAAGCAAAACTTACGATTTCTCCTTAAAACACATTCAGGGCAAGTTCTAGACCTTCCGCACAAGATACTCGGACTAGAAACAAAGCATCTCACCCCTCATGCAACTAGATTGTTAAAGAGGACAGAGCTCGACGGGCCTCCACAATGGCCACATTCAAGATTGTAGATCACTATGGTCCAATTAGACCACTCGATGGTATCAACAGTCAACACAAGAGTCACAAAGTCACTAACTCAGTGCTATTTTCCTTTTTTAA